CTTTCTCTCTACTTCCACGCATGAAGGCCCTCCCTGGTTCTTAACGCAAGTGAAGAACCTCTCGTGCGTCGAAAGTACGCCGAAAATGACCGAAACACAACAAAAAATGAACAAAGAAAACAAGAGGAAACCCGGCTATCGGATCAAAGCTGTTCTCGAATCCAACGCCTCAAATAGAATCAAATAAGCCGTCCGTATCACTAATGATTCCTCCAGCCATAGTGCGTAATGAAGGCAAGGAAAATCATTCCAAACCTGCGAATTACGTACTCTAAGCAACGCTTTACAACCTCGAGCAACACTTTGAACAAAATCCTTCTTGCATGATGGAACACACACACAAAAAAAGCGACCACACGCCCCCACCCCTTGGCGAGGTTGTGCGACAAACTTGGCTCACCTCCAAGACATAGGGGCCCAACAGAACTTGTAAATTATTGTTTCGCGCGAAGCGCGAAAAAGAACGGACGGAGAGACGCAGGCGTAGATAGATATGGATGGAGCCTCACAGAGAGGTCACCACATGCCACTGCACAGGCTCACACCTCACCCAACACCCCAGTCAGCCGTGTACGCAGGACTGCTACTGTGCAGCTGCGCGGGGACGAATGAAAATGTCGTGTGGTGTGGACGAAGCTCTCATGAACCAGCTGCTGCTGCTGCTGCTGCTGCCGCTCTATGGATGTGCACCAATTTCTTCCCTCGCTCACGCTCGTGGCAGCGGCAGCGGGATCGAATAATCGCCCCGACGCCCCTATATGTGTATTTGGTCGCCCTTGGCCGGCAGCCTGTGTACTTCGCTTTGTCTATCTGTTTTCGGGTGTGCCTATTGTGGATCAATAGAAGATCGGCCTGCAGACAGACCGGCGAAGATAGCCGCAGATTGATTGACTTGTGTGCACTTGCTTCCCTCGCTTATACGCTGCTGGCAGCAGGAAACGGGCTTCAAACATCGCGCTCGATGCCTCGTATGATGTGTTCCTTTGGCCGCCCTTGGCCTGCAGCAGTTTGTACGTCTCATTGTCTCTGTTTTAGGGATGCAGTTGTGTAGCAAGCTCAAAAGACCGGCCTGCAGATAGATGACAGCGGCATGCAGCAGCAGCAGCAGCAGATTTGACCTGTGTCGCCTCCCTCGCTTGTGGCGCTGCCGACAGCAGCCAACCGGCTCTGACTGTCGAACCCAACGCCTCCTATTCTGTGTGCCTTTGACTACCCTTGGTCCACAGCAGTCTCGTATCCTGCTGTGCTGGTTGTCTCGTGTGTTGTCTATTCATACGTGTATGTGTCATGTGCTGCTGGTGCTGTACTACGTCTTTCGGGGGATTCCCGCTCGGTGGCGTAGCCATCAACCAATCATCTGTCTCTGTCCTACCTAATGTCCTACATAATCGACATGTGATTGGGGGGAGGATGGGTATCCACCCGGCTCTACCCCTCTTTAGCGGACATGTTTCTTTTTAGTTCGTCCGGTCCAATATAAAAAATTCCTGACTTATGGGCCCGGTTCCACAAACTTGGCCAAAATAACCAACAGGCACCGGGCATCTACTCTGTTGTCTGCAATCAAACGAAAAGCACTGATAATCTACGCATTCTGCCCTCGCTTGAGTAGCACGCTGCCTAGTAGTTGGGGAAGCCCTCACATGTGCCATTCAACGCGCGCTCTTCAGTACATTAGATGGGCTTATCCACGAGACTACTTAGTTAGCTCACTGCCTAGAAGTTCATACACACAGCGATCATCCAGACTTAGCTCAACAAACCAAACACGTTGTACGGCATGCCTCCGTGGAATTAGGACCAAAACGTTCGCAAGAGTCCGACAACATCCAAAGAGTTCACCAACGCCCGTCGTCGTTAAATACCTGCTAGACCGAAATCGTTCCACCTCAAGCATGATGCTGCTCAATCGTACGTTGCATTCTTGCATCAAGAATGAAGGACGATAAACCTGTCAAGGTGCAGAACATCTACAGACCGGGCCTAAACTCTCCAGCATAAAACTCTCCAAAAGAAATACGCACGTCGTCACCCTCCCTGATTCTGCAACCACACAGGTACTCAAAAACAAGTGATGACTCCGTGAAACTCTAGCATGTGAATCATTTGTTACAACTGAACCAATCAAACAAAACCGATTCTCCACAAAATTCTTTCTCAAAAAATAACAAACAGCATTAGCCTGCTCCAAACAAGGTCCTAACATCTGCAAACAGTCAAAAGGCCCCCAATTGTCCTTCAACGAATGCACCAACCTGTCACTGAACCATCAGGCACAACTAATTATGCAATCACGAACGAGCTAACTGAAAGAAGAAGGATGGTGGCAAGTTCTACAATGCAAGGTGAACGTCCATGAAGAAAAGGTGTCAAATTCTACCAACGTGAACGTCGTTCCCCTCGTACTTTGCCATATCACCGACACAGCTGTCCGATATGAACTCTCGACAGTAAACCAACGGCCAAGAAGCGTACAGCATGGGGCATAACGACGAACACACACTGAAAATACCACGCGGTGTGGCGGCAATCAAAATAAATTGCCGTCAAAGGAAACATCGGAAACAAAACAAGATCAAGAACGCTCGAACAACGAAGACTTCGCGTGATTCATCGCGACCCTAAACTGGTATCTTTCTACTCAACCAAAAACATATTCAAGCTCATTCCAGTCTACTCATCAAATCAATCGTGATGATGAAGCGCGCCCTTGGTGTTCACACGGCCATCCTGCCGCATCCGTTTTCTCCACTGCCCGTTTCCGGCTGAGGAATGCACGCGGCACCTCCCCACGCGACTTGTATTGATGACACCGCCGTTCCGCTGTGCCCCGTTCCAACGCCCACCTCCGGCTGATGGTTGCGCGCCACCTCCGCGCGACTTAAAATGCTACCCCCCCGCTCCAACGACGAGGCAGAACAGCCACGGCCCCCACGTCCGTGCTGTAGTTGACTAACATGACAAGAAAATGCTGCCCGCCCCCCGTCTAATCTCCCGATCCACCTACCGAACACGATCCCTCTGCGGCATTCCCAGCGTGAACCCCAGCTGCTTTCCCAGCTTGACCATCTGCTGCCCTCCCAGCCTTTCACTTCTTCTCCAACGCCGCCATCCTATCGATCGCTGTTTTGAGCGTATCTCGAAGCTCTGTCGCAGCCCTTTCCGCAGCTGCTGCCGTTTCCGCAGCATCTTGTACATCCGCCATCTGGTCCGACCAACGTTTTTTTTTGTCACGGTATCGTGTTTGCTGCCTCCGTGCCTTCCCACGGAGGCTACTGCGCCCTCCCACTGTAATATGAGTTGAATCCGGGGGCTGTTTTAACCCAGGGCCGACCAGGGCCGATGTAGGTGACATCTAACCTTCGTTATTATACACCGTGCTCTTCCAGCACACAGAAGTATAGAGCACGTGCAGTTCAGTCAGTGTTCAGGGCGCGCCTCCGTAAGTGATACACGTCTTGCGTCATTCATGAAAATGTTTCCCACCACCAGAATCCCACAAGTGTGCCCCACATGTATATAGAAAATTGACTGCCCGGAACTACATACACCGTTCCAGTAAAACGTTCGGCGGTGACCCCCCTCATGCATGCATTCCATAGCCGATGCATCGGAGCCGGAGTTCAATGCATCTACATCAAGCGGAAGTCCACCCATCCTCAGTATCAGCGAAAACAGCAACTAAGGGGTCTGGCCGGCACGCAGTCAACGGAGTTGCAGCGCCACTCGTTGTCTGGCGCATTCCTGGCTCGCGACACCCTGCCTTTGAAGAGGTCAGTCGTCTCCATCCGCCGCTGTTCGTTGTTTAGACTACGCTCGAGATGCAAGTAGCCCTCTTCCGTTTGAGTCATAACACCAACCAGTGTGTGCGCCATCGAATTCAAGCTTCACACCAGTGGAGTCAAGAAATCGTGGGTGCAGGAAAGAGAAGAACGAAACCGTGTAGAAATAGCTGCTCGTTGGTGTATACCAGTAGTAGCACGCTAGAATCAGCTTCGCCGTCGACCAGCACCTTCACACACATCAAACTCATGATAGACTTGGATATATGAGCTCAAGGATGTTCTCGAAGATGAAAGGCCTCCATATCTTGCATGTCATATGAGGCGGTTGCTTTTTGCACGATTTCACCACTGTACCAGGTGCAGGTTGAGTGCGTCTCCGGCGACCGGACTTGTGGGCATGCAGGAGAACGCATTTCTCAGTGACTTCTTCGGCTGCGTGGGCTTCCTGCCACTCACCACCCGGAGGTGCCCAGAACGCGTTGATGGTATACACTACAAGGGTAGTAGCTGCACCTCCGCCGAACGTATCTCATTGCGTCCCTTTTCAACGCTTGCCGATGTATTTTCGAGGGGGGGCATCGATTCGTCGGGCTACCTCGTTCCCTTATAGCCTAGCGCCTGATTCCAGATTCCTGTGCGGTTGACCGTTTTCGCCAGCCACGTTCGCGGAGCGATGGTGAGGATGATGGCTCACTCCGCTGCCCAACATCAGCTGCGCGCTCGGCACGACACCCCCGATCAAGGCCAGTTCGGCGCCATCTTCTCCGAGGACGGTATCACCACGGGAAATCAGCTATCGACGGGTCCCTCCGCTTGCACATTTTGGTGTGCAGTTGGTGTGGGGGCTCTTGTAAAGGGACGCCCTGCTGAGTCGGTGAGAAGAAGTGGAGTGCTTGCTTGGCCTGCCGTGTACGAGCAGAAGGACCGCTGTTGCACGTCGCATTGAGGAAGTCCATCCTTGTTTGGTACAACCGCTGATTGTTGCGTGTAGTTACCGACCGAAATCCTACTTTTCTTATTACGCAGAAGCGCTTGTGACGCATACATCTTGATTTTTTTATGGTTTTGCCGTATGTTTGGCCAAAATTTGACTATTGTTTTCGTGTTATTTCACCCTAAATCATCCAATACGGCTTGGCGGATGGAAACGCACATGCTGAGACCATTGCCCGTACAGCATAAAGCACATGCTTCCGTCGCGCGTGTTGGCGAGATGACACTGGGGCACGTCCGTAAAGACGCAAAAAACTTGGCATGTCCACCTCTCTCCCGTAGTCCCTGGTTTGTATATCGTCCCTCTTTGACCTCATACTGAAGAGGTACGATCTCACACACGATCCACACACCACCCGCACAAGTCGCTACAAGTTGGGTGAGGGATCGGATGCCACCTCCTGTTGCGGGTTGCATGCCGTCCCCTGGTGCCAACAATAAATCAATCAACCACCATTGCGCGGCATCATTGGCTCTCGCGAAACGATCGTGGTTCCACCGCAAACCGTCCGATACTCGCCTATCATGAAACGACAACAGTTGCACCGCGTCACACAACTGCTGGCGCCTTTCCTCCTCTGATAAACTTGTCATGCTGTACGGCGTACCTTTCGGCGTGCTTCCCTACAAAGACGATTGATTCCCCATGAGTCAAAATCGACGGACGTTTAATGAACGAGTTACAGCGTAGATGACGCGCGGGAGGAATGCCACTAGGACCGCTCGGCGAAACGCGACGGGTTCCCGCGCCTACACGAAGATACAGCAGACAGGATTACCTTAGAACACGAACCGATCTACCGATACACCGAGACGTTATAGAGTGTGATCCCGGTGGCCATCCCGCCCCAGGGGCGGGCGGCTGCCATACCCTAGTTACGAGCTACGACACAATTCGCCACTCGAACCAATGCCCGCGAATTGCAACACCTCCCACGCATGTCCCTAAAGGTCACGATCTACTCCCGACTGGCGAGAGGTGCACTGGATGCCTACACTGGTCCTGTGGATGCCGAGGTGGCGAAGTGAGTTACACGGACAAATTTGCAACACGAGCACACGCTGTACCATGGCCCGTACAGAATTGTACCACATTCATCGCGTGTCATGTATCTGCGAGAATGATGGTTCGCGCTATGTTTGCTTTTGGCCAAGTTCATCATAACACAAACATGAAACGAGCAATAATATTTGCACGCACAGGTAATCGAGGCTTGCCGTTTGCCACACACTATTCCACACAACCTCCCTGGTTTTGTAAGGCTCGGCATTTGCACACCAGTGAGGTTGACAATATTGACCGAAACGTGTTTGGAAATAGTGCAATCGTACCTTTCGAACGCCACCTTTTGGCATTGATAATGTCGATACCTCTTTACGTATCCAGGGTTCAACCTAAGCCCAGGGCGTGTGGAATGGTGCATCACATGCTGTAATCCGGTAGCCTGTCCCACTCGACCCCTCACATCACCAGCCTGTCTCCTGTTCCGTCCTCGCGTCAACATCAATCCAGGGCGTGGGCAATCTTAGCATACCTCTATGGGTACATGGGAGACACGGTGAGCTCGACTCCTGTGCGAGGCAACACCCTTGGTCGGTGTGCTCGGGTATGCACACGAGGAGCAGCTTCTCTTGCCTGTCGATAGACCCGATCTCTTGCCAATATTTCTATCGTCAACGACACGAGAAAGTTTGGAAATGGTCTACTCCCATCAATATCATCAGTTGACCCACCCGCTTTATATCTTCGCCATCTGCGAATGTATTTCTTTGTTTCAGGCGAAGTTTGAAGAGTATCTGGAGCTTTCAGACTCCTTTTTGATTGCTTCCATCGAGCAAGGGTCAACTGACATGCTGCCAGCGGTGAGTGAAACGCCATTGCCTTTTGTAGGAGTGTAGCTGATGCTAGAGCTCCTTTCCCTGCCTGGCGAAACTGGTTCTATCAAACCGACGACCGTGATCTCCCCGAAGAGGACAGATACATAAACACAGTTCCATTGGCTGTGTATACGCCAACACCACCAAAATAGCAACAGGGCCAAAACGCCTCTAGGGATAGCCAGGCCAAATGCCGTTGCACGAGTGTTATATCGCGGGACTGGTTCGCCCCTCCTGTGTGCAAGTGTATTCTGTAGGCGGGGCATGAGGGTAAACAGTGGCTACGCTTCCAGCTGCAGCGGGTTTCCGCCCTGATCAACGGATAGAATGGATGGGGCTCTCACCCACAGCGGCACCCAGACATACACACGTTTCGGGGTACCGTCGCGACCCAACAGAAATCGATGGTCCCATTCACCCATCGCTTGGGGCATTCCAACGGCCGGTATGGGTGGGGAGGTGTTGATCGAGTGTGTATGTTTGCTTGGCACGAGTAAGAACACAGGCACTCTTGTCGTGAAACAGTACCGGGGTGGCCGATGGTGTCATCTGTAGCCGCGCTGCTCGAGGTGGCCAGGGGTTGAGGTCGAAGCATGTGTGTGTGTGAGATGCCCGCGTGTTGGGGGACAAAATGCTTTTGAGGGCCGGAAAGTTTGTGTGCGTAGACTCAAACCATCACTGACGTTCCAATACGGTTTTGAAGTCGTTTCCGTCCTGCGTCTGATCAGAAGTTTCCCCTTCGCGCCAAGCCACCTCCAACGTAAATGATTTGGATTGGTCGGTGAGGTACTCGACAGCCCGTCTCAGAACTTATGTACTGCTCGCATGGGTGGATTGGAGCGTTGTTGGAGTCGCTGGTTCGCTCAGACGTTTCATCCCGATCGGGACGCTAGCTTGGCGTGGTTGCTTCTTCTTGCTTCCCTCATGCCACGCGATCCAGCCGTCCGACGCGGCCAACATGTTCTTCTTATCCAGAATGAAGTTGTAATGACTTCCAGTGTAGTTTGACCAATCTGTACCGTTCAGCGTCAAAGATGTGGAGATTGCAGCACTGCTTGGCGCGTTTCCGCCTGTGACCATGCTTGCGCTATTGCATGTATTATGGGTCACGCGTATCTGCTGAACTCTCGTATACACGCATGCATCTTCGCCAGGGATTCGCGGAGATGGTCAATCACAAGCAGACCGTCAAGGTGTACGCGGGAAATCCAGATGCTACGGATATCGACTCTTTGGCCGCCCGACGTCAAGATCCTCCGAAGGTGTGTCCTGTGCCGAATAATTGAACTGATTGGCCCAGTTCCCCCAGACGGCGCTCCGTGCTCACAGTCTGGGGCAGCCCCCCAGCACGTCTCCGCGATGGGTGAGCGCGAGCTCCTTGGAGCGCCCGTACCCGAATGGCGTAGTCGACATCATCGAAACGTGACCCTGGAAAGCAGAGGAAGCTCCCAAAAGTTACGAAGTGAGATCGACACGCAACCCCGACGAAGGCCTAAGAGAACCGTTCTCGGATCTTCGCGAAGAAATCATTCACACACGTTTGGTTGCAGCAGCGACATGAGAAACGGTCGCTAGAGTCTCACAACATTCAATACCCTCGACGGCAATTATGTGTAGGCAACTAGGCAGCCAAAAAAAGACATGGGCGCGTATTCAGGTCAAGACGTGCGTGAGCACCCCTGCAATAATAATTATGTCTGGAATCGGTCGTCATCCGAGTTTGAGTAATGGACTCTTCGTTCCTCGTGGGATTATCTACTCTACAGAACGAGCCACCACAACACGAAAAAATGGGAATATATAACTTCACGCTCGAAAGCATCGAAACCTAAAGAACTTGACGATACGGACATGTGCTCAGGTGAGAACCTCGCACCACCACCTTTTGGTTGATGATGAGTTGCCGTACAGTAGAAAGGTGAAATAGGAGACGGAAGGGGTGGGTCCTTCTGTTCCGTTTTTGTTTTTTGTGGGGTTCGACTTGCTTGCAAATTTCCGTCGTCATTTTCCTGGACCTTTCTTGGGTTCCCTGTGTGTAAATCTATATTTGTGGATAAGCATTTGGAGAGTGCTGAAGACGGTGTACTGAGGAAAGGTCAGAATGACGCCGATGTGAAGACCATACCAACGTCAGCAGCAGAAAAAAAAACCGGCAGGAGCATTAGTTGTTGCGGGTACCCTTCGCGGTGCCTGCGACTCTGTGTGGCACCTCAAGGCGATTCGCGTTCGCGTTTAGCACAATTCTTGCCTCGGTACCGATACGTTGACGTATGTTACTCAGGCTTGACAGGGCGTCGTGCATGATTACGATCGTGCATGGTTAAGAGACCTACTCCTCCCATCCTGCCACTTGATATGATCCAGATCACCCCAGCTGCAAGCGAAAGGGACGTGTTTCGGTATGTTGTCCAGTCTCTTGCGGCGTTCGACCAAATGGCGTTCGAGAAAGCTTGCAAGAACAGGGCGCCCTGCGGACAGTCGAGCGATGATGAGCCTTACTTGGAGAACAGAGGCGATGGTAGCCCGCACGGTAACGCACCCCCAGTGGAAGAGGTGGCACATGCTATGGTGGCCGGGTTCAAAGATGACCTGGTCGAGTTCGAACATCTGCAAGAAACAGTCGATGGGTGAGCAAGGTTCAAACCTTGCTTGGCAGATGTGTTTGGAGTGTCATCCGACAACTGATTATCAATTACGATGTAGAATCTTTACGTCTACTCTGCTGATTGACCTTTCCTTCTGTGCTCGATCGTGTCAGCTGGAGTTCTTGCGAGCTTACTCGTACCCTTCTCGCGATGTTTCCCTTTTCTCCTCGTGGCCGGTTTTCACCTGGATGACGAGCAGACCCAACATTCGCACGGGCATTGGCGGCCTCCTCATCAACATGTAAGTCAACCTGGACAACGTGCTTCCGACTGCTAGAAACAGCAAGAGTGTTCTGTATTCTTTGCCTACGATGGCTCGCGCTCCGTTGACCTATGGGCACTACCTCTCTTTGTACTGCCATACGAACAACTCCGGGTAATAGTGGAAAAGGCTTACCAGCATCATGATGACTCGCAACACGTTGCATTTTTGGCCATCTCTTTTCGGGTCGGACAGCACCCTGGCATTTAAAAAGGCAGCCAACGGGGAAGCGGGCTTTGCTCTGAAGAAGCTAGGGCATTGCGTCGAGGTATTCGAGCGGTACCCTGGATTGTGTGGCTGCACGATGCAATGGTGAGCCGATCGCATAAACATCACCAACGCTGACATTGATACTCAGGCGGCCATCCGAACTACAGGACAAACTGCGCCGTGCGTATAGAGGACAAGAAGAGTAGTCCTAATGCCACTAGTGGTTGCTCAATATGATTTGTGTGGCTTTTTTCTGCGTATGAGCTCGACCTCTGATTTGTTTCGGACTATCCAGAGATAGTTCTGGCGTTCTTCGTACAGGCGTGTCAATGGTGTGTGTATTGAGACCATATGTGTCGAACGTTGGCGTTTTCATCGATCGTACCTCCCACCATAAGAAGGTGTCGCCTTGCACGGTATCCTGGGGGCCCTAGCAGCGATTGACGATTCCTGAGCTCGAGGACTGTACAACCGGTTGCGGGAGGTCCGCATTCGTTGTTCACTGCGAAGATTTGTGAGGACATTTTCCTGGTGCGATCTCGACTGCTGGTTCGGTGGGACTAGCCGTGGATAATTTTGGCGGTCGTCATACAGGCGTGTCAAGGCATCATCATCTTATGTTTCTCCCACCCATCGTATGCATACCTCCCACCATGTACAGGAGTCACCTTGCACACCGTATCCAGGGGGCCCTAGCAGCGATTGATGATTCCAGAGCTCGAGGACTGTACAACCGGTTGCGGGATGTCTACAATCCGTTTCGCCCCCCTGCCTATCCGCCGGCGCCCCCGTTGGAGGAGTGGCGTGGGATATCTGCATTCTGCGATCGTTTCCAGTGCAGGTGCGTTGGGAGATTGGGGAGTGATATCCTGCTAGGCACATGCACAACGGTTTCTCTCTGACGTGTCCCCCCCCCAGTCTACACTTGTTCGAGATAGGTAGTTTGTCCAATATTTAGAGAACAGAGATAAGACACCCTTGTCTACAAGCGCAGCATCGAACGGTGGCATTGTTAAGACCCTTCGTTCAATGCCGTTTGTGCTCGACACAAAGATACGGATTTTGGTTAACCTAGTCTTGGTGCGAAGGTCTCGACCACCTTTCGGGGTTCGCGGGGTGACTGATTTTTCAATGTTGCGAAGTATGAAAAATAGGTGGAGATGTTGACAAAGAGAACTGGATCGGGTGGTCATTGTGGTTCGTTTTTGTCAGGATAATCCATACGAATTTCGATCGGCGCTAGGTACTGCGTTAGTGAGTATCAAAGCTCTTTGAGGTATGTGTCGAATCGCTTGTCCTCCAAACGACAAACCTGTCGGGCCACCACATGCCCATGCAGTGATTAAGTGTACACCTCCATCTTCTATGTTAGGTCGAACACACAGAAACGCTCGGAGGGGGAGGCAACTTCACGCACATTGCTAATTCACCGGGCGGATTTCAAACCTTGTACTGTGTGGAATCCGAGATCTCCATGCAGTAACGACTCGCTACTCTTTTCTATCTCTTACTATGGAACGAAGCACGATTCCGCGGTCACAACTATATCCAAAAGTTAGGATGCAGAGGCCATCCCTCCACTCCGAAGAAAATCGCCACACAAAATTATCGAGGAGTAAAATTTTCGCGGTCGCGCTTTCGCTCAAAACTGCGGTGTATTATAGTGTTATCTCGAGCGCTGGACGAGGGCCTTGGCGTAGCACTCCGTGTCCAATCCTACCCGTGCTAAAGTATACTGCGGATATATATTCCAAACCTCGTGCGTGCTCTCCCCCACGGTTTCATATTGTCTTTCAAGGGTAACTGAGGGTGTCATCGCGAGTCAAGGCATGAGCGCTTTCTCCACGCCGCCCCTCTGCGCTAGCAACTGCACCGGCTCACAGACTGCGTGCAAGCAAAGAGATTTGCAGATGTTCGTTGAGGAACATCATGACAGCATGGTGTCGGCGGGTGTCATTCCTGAGAGCGCGACCGGCGCGATGGTGGTTGCCCCTTGCAGCAACGGAGACAAACCAATGGCATCTACTAGCTCGGGGGAACTATACCAATACCCTGCACAACAAACTGGCCCACCTGCCGGACCGAGCTTCTCTACTTCACAAGTCAACTGTGAGCCGGCTAGGGGAGGCAGAAGTGATTCTGACGTGTCTAGTGGTGCGGTCGAGGGGTGTGATGGTGGTGTCGTTTCTGGCTGGGTAGCCCATGTTCCCGATATGTCCTTGAGATCGCCGGAGTTGAGAGAGGTGGATGGGGCCCCAGAGGAGACCGGAGGTGATACTGTTGCTGCGGCAGACTGGCTAGATGTTACTCATGCTATGTTGGGTGCAATTGATTAATTGAATCCGGCGCTGTAATGTGTACGATTTTTGGTCAGGTTTTCGCTATTGAATCTGTGTGCGAAGAGGCGTCGTGGACGTTAACAATTGGCCCCTTTACATCAGTTTTTTGTTCTGTATCTGACACCCAATTAGTCCTCCCTGGACGGTGACTTTATCCGAAAAAGTATTGCAATGCAGCTCTTAGCAAGACACGGCCAGTCGGAATTGGGACCAAAGACTGTTGGGCAGTGTGCCGGAGGCACGGGTATGCGTTGGTCTGCGTTTCATTGTTGTTTGAAGATCTCAGGAAGAAGCAACGACCGGGAATGTTTCAGCGATAGATGTCGTTTCGACCATCCAGTGCAGCCCATGAACCATGCCACGTTTCAGCGGTTATTGCTCCTCGCTTCGAACCCTCTTCGCATATTCACTCAGAACTAAGGGTGTCTGCGGTGGCAGGTAGTACGTCATTGTGTAGCGGCATCTTTCAAACAGGCCTTGTTATTTCTCAGGCTCAAAAAGGCGTGGGTGCGCAGACCGATTAGGTCATCGTGGACCAGAACAAACGGTCAACAGTTGCTGGTCCATGTCCGTAGAAAACACACTCCTTATCATAACAAAGCGGTTGCAGAGCTCCTCCTTCGGTATATTGCTGCATCGGCACTTCTGTCTACTTAGCTCTACTCAACGTTCGCCGGATGGCTGTGTAACAAGGACTGCAGCGACCAGACGTGCAGCAACATCTGGCGTATTTGTAGTGTGTAATAGACGCACCACAGCAAACTGAAGTACAGCAACGTAGGACATCCATGCGTAACGTTGTGGCAAGCATCACAGCGAGCAGACGAATAGCAATGGTGGATTGGCGTAGGTTGGCGCAAAACACCAACATTAGAATAACTGACTAGCCTTACTCCTCCTGCGGCAAGTTCCGGAAAGCCACTCGTGTATCGTAGCATGAATATTGTACACCATGGCGAACATACGCGGCAAGTACCGCAACAACAATGAAGTGTGAAACAATATGCTCTGATGTGATTGTGGAGAATGCGGCAACCACTGCCGTAAGTAGCGACGACCAGGTGTGTACAGCAGCAACATCTACCTTGCTTGGTGAAAACTCTAGATTGATACCCGGCCAGCACCTCCAACACAATGTACAGCGACGTACGACAAAAAGTGTAACGTTCTCTCATATGGCAGCCTCGTATCGAGAAACGCGCGTGTCTCACCTCGCAGCCTCAACGTGCGCGTAGATTCTGTCCGGTGTACATCGATGTGTAAGGAACGTGTCATGCCGTACACACCACCGAGCGCACCATGACGGGCCCCGCGCCTAGTCTGCGCATCAGAGACAGCTACGATGCCGAATGCGTTGCGCTAAGCCAACGTTACCAGTGGTTCCCAGTCCGTCACCTGAAGACGTCAGTGTCCGATGCCATGCAATCATAGCCCGGAGTACCGAAAGAGCCTCTTGGATCGTATCGTCGGTGCGCGGAACAAAGGGTGACAAGACGGATTTGCCTGTTCAGAAATTATTGGTGCTTCTCCGGAAAGGGTCGGTCCAGTGGTGGGTATGCGTAGCTATGCAATACCCGCTGAACGCCGGATACAGTGCCGCGACCCGATTGGTGGTGTGTCACGTGCGTGGCGTACGTACGCAGATCCAGCATGCATGACACGCATCAAACGTCATGAAGAATGCAACTAAAATGACACCACACACCCACAGAAACTCGGAATTTTGTCAAAATTCGAAGAAGCAAACAATCCCAATCGCGAGGCAGCGCGGCATGTGCCTCAAGCAGCATAAAGTTGGAAGCATCAAAGGGGCAACTCCGCGTTTCCAGGTGGCGTGTCCAGCAGTTTCAAGAACTCCGCACCTCGCGTTGCCGCGAGCTGTCACAGCCGTTGCGACACTGCTCGCGCTCGCGTCGCCTGCACCGGCTCCTCTCTTACGGTCCACTGGCTACTGGCCTCCTGATTCCACTGATCCCCCGGCTCCAGCTGCTGGACGGTTGACCTGCACCTCCTTGGCTCCCTGCCGCGAAATATCGTCTCACGGCGCGAGAAGGACGTCCTGGAAGTTAACGTTAACGATCGCCACGATGTGGCCGACGACGATCTTGATCGCGCCCTCCCGGCGGAAGGAAGGAAGGAGTTCCGCCGCCGATCGAAGAATTGAGTTTTTCCACG